ACTCTTACCGGCCATGTTTCACTGTCATAAAGTAGGACCGAACAAACTGATACACAGTAAACTCGTCCATAGGTTGGTAGGCAGATATCTCGCCTACGCCATAAATGACGCAAGTTGGCAAGCTAGTCAAGCTTTCTGTGTCCGTGCTGAGATTTCGTCACACTTAGTTGTCAACAATGTCATAGGATCATCACTGTGCCATATTATTGATTGACTGAAGTTGAAATCTTGTCATTAGGTACCAATCCATGGGTTTTAATGAATAATCATTCATCGAGATAACTGGAGATACTGGTTTAGACCTACGATGGGGTCATGAGTGTGCACTGCTACAGAGTCTCATAATAGGATGAAATACCTGCTAAGAGCTCCCTGATTCCCCATAATATCTTAACTGAGATTAATTTGTGACAAATAAAACCTATAAATTAAAACCAGTCACCCTTAAAAAAACCTTCAACTTAGTGCAGTGTTATCATTAGAAATGGAAACTTACTGAAAGATAAAAATGAAGTGATCTACACTAGTACGATCATTGCCATTTTCCAATATGATTCAGACCAATAGTCAATGAATTCATGAAACGACAATAATACCTCGACCTTGTTAACCCTAGCTTTCTTCCAATCAACTTTAATACCAACACCTTTGTATTTAGGAATGTTTGGCACTGGTGGATGAAGTATTAAAGGTTATTAACTATTCTAATGCTTATGGTCAGATTATGGACCAATACGGACTACATACACGAGGCTCCTGTTTGATCGATATTTCATGTTATCTAGGCACATGAAATTTGAACCCACATCATCTAACTGAGATTAGTTTTTTCGTAAAGAGCCGTCTAATGTGTTTGAAACATGCCGGAAAACCCCTAAATAAGGTGAAACGCTTGTTCAGATATTTCATTAAGGTCTTTTTAAAGCTTAGATGGGCTTTTTTAATGAGTTCGCAACAGTTTGTTAACATCATAGATTGCTAAAAGTAAATGATTTGTAAATAAATTGCTTTCAAATATCCTGGGAAAAAGAAAAGCTTTTAAAAATCAGAACATATAACGAGTACGTCGATTAAGATAGTGAAACCTTTGAACCTAATCTATGATTTCACGGATCGTAATATTTAAGGTTTCTAATATATGTATACACCAATTATTCCCTGTGAAAAAGACAGTTTATACCTCAAGGGCCTATCACTAAACATTTAAAACATATGTTCCCAACTCATCTTCAGTAAAACCAACGGGCTTCCTTTACAAATCTGCACATACGTATCAGTAATCGTCCTCGACTATATGAAGGAAGAACTCATCATAAACTAATTTCAGAAGGAGAATCAATAAGCTCTGAGTAGCTGCATTGTCCTAGTTTCAGATGTCTTGATAATACAAATTCCTAAAGTCATTAAAGATCTAAAGCAATATCACTGAAAGGCCGTTTACAATATACGTTTTTCTTCATAAGTCTGTACAGTTGTCTATCGTTACCTATTCATTATAACTTTTCTGTCTCTTCATTTCTCTGACTTGCCTACAAATCACAAACAATGTGTAGACTTCTTATCAGTTTATGTTGAAGTTATCTTTGCTCCTCGTCATGCTCCAAGACTGACGAGATGAGTTTCCAAGCATCTATTAATTCAGTAGACCAGGAAGTAAGTCGGACAGATCACAGTATCCATGTTTTAACCATTAAGAGTACAGCAAGAAAAGACACTGAACTAACAAGATGGAAAGTCACATAGTCGAGGTTGAACTTACACTAACCAATAGCAGAGTGGAAAACTGAGTAAAAAGAAATAATGCAATTCACCAAAAACCAATAAAGATAAGAGAATGAAGCTCAAGATTTTGAGATTTAAATTACTGAGATTAATGTCAATAAGCATGAAAACCAATTCGAAACTGGAGAGATCATTGTTTTAATGACACTTTTGCCAAGTAGAGATTCGTGTACTCAGCTTTGAGCCTTGCTTCTTATATCACAGTTATAGATACTACCCAGCTGTCTAGACTGATGTGGTAGTTCTATCCTTGGATCGAATGGGATGTATGTTACATTACCCCCAACCACCCCCTGCCCCAACATACTAGGTTGGCTGCTGTAAGAGTAGTTTAGAAGAGAGCTGGTGGTAGTATCACCGCATGAAGTCGTTGGCTTTTGGAATGAATAGAAATGAAGCAGATGCACTCACTTTTTGTTTAACTTTAGGTCTTGAGTTTTGAAATAATCGTATGCTTTTTGTTCCGTGAACATATTCTTTCTTATCGGATTACATCGTCTATAGCTAACCATTCGTACTACCACTGACACTGTCACTACTTTTATTACTGTGATATTTGTCTTGTAAATTTCGTCTCGCTGTGATGATATGATGTGGTAAGTTGAATTGATGAACATATGTGCGAAGTTGTATGTTGCTTATGACTGACTAATTTAGTGATTCAAAGCTAGGTGTTTTTCATAACTAAGTGATATTTCCAATGGTTGTTTAAAGAATTTGACTTCCAACTAGCAGGTCGTAGGTTTGAACCCAACTCCATTTCATTCAAGTTAAGTAATCAGATAATGTGACTAGCTCTCAAGCGCACACAAACAAACAGGTGTAGCCCAACGCCGAGAACATAAATCTAGTTCTTGGTAAATGAGTTGAGTTATAAAGAAGGGATTTATTCTAGAGTGAGGCTGGAGGTATGGAAGCAGTTGTCACTCCCCGGTTCCACAAACTATACAGGAATATTTCTTCTTGAGTGATCTGGAAGGAAAACTGGACTAGCAATGGTCTTGTCGACCTGTGAGTATGACTGCACAGATCGAGAGGAAACTACTTGGAGCCGGTCACACACAGCCATCTTGTGAGTTTCTGATGCGTTAGCTCCGAACCTTAAAGGCTTCATGGTTGGAGAGGGAAATCTGTGGGGCAAGGTTAGGTGTGCCATGTTTAGCATCGATGTTTTGGTAGGAATTACAGTGAGATTTTCTGTGCAAATACTGAGACTATCGTGAATAGGGTTTTAGCAAGACTGTAATCAGAACTGGTAATCTGTATATAGGCAATAACTTTTAACTGCTTCAACAATGTAAATTGATTACAACCCTTACAACAGCATGAATAGGTGCAGTAAGTTAGAAAAAGGAGAATAATTAATCACATGTGCTGAACAATAAATTAGGAGCACAAACAAAATACGTTAACAGAAGTTTTGTCATGTTGATAAAAAGGGGCAGAATCTCGTGATTGGTGGATGGAATGAGACTGAATCTAAGTAGTTGTTATTTACCTAAATATTATTGGTAAATTCTTTCTTAACACTTTCCAACTCTCTGCTTTCGTGAAAGGAAGGTAGCTTCGACCGAGGCGTTGGATGTCTAGGGAAATGCGTTACTGCCGTCACACTCTAGTACAGTCAGTAGTATGCAGAACTCGTCTGCTTTTCTTCAACTTACGTCACCTATGGCGAAGGCGAGATATCCGTCTATCAATTAAGGGACGAGTGTACCGTGCAGCAGTTCGTTCTCTTCTACTTTACAGCTGCGAAATGTGGCCATCAGGGGTAGAAGATACTCATAAGTTACTAGTATTTGATGACAGATGTCTTATAAATATTGCCAACATCTGCTGGGATCACCGGGTAAGTAATAGTGAGGTTAGACACAGGGTATTAGGTAATGATGGTAAATCAGTTGATGAGGTTGTACATCTTCATCGACTGAGATGGTTGGGCCACATGTTACGCAAACCTCAACACCGATTACCACGACGCGTAATGCTGACTAGTGTTGGAGACAGTTGGAAGAATGTTAGAGGCGACCAAACCAAAATGTGGCATCAGTCCTTGAACTCACTAACTTTTAGTCTGGGCCATTTCGGTAGATGCAGACTACTTGGTTGGGGTCCGCGTGACTATCGTAAACAATTTTTGAAGACTCTGTGTGACATGGCTCAAAATCGATCACAATGGCGTAGATGTATACACTCTTTGTCTTACCTTAAACTATAAGATTAAAATCGCTTCATATCTTTCTTTCTACGAACTAATTCTTTCTACCTGTACTATATCCTTATATGTAATCTTTCTTTTATATATTATTACCACTGAATTGGCTACTTCTATGAATCCGGTGTTCATCTTTTGTGTTAATGAGTTGTGTTAACTTGGACCGATGCATATATATGCCTGATCCTACGTTGTAGCCGAATGAATGAGTGACAAATTCATAATTGGACCATGAGTTTATTGCTATTATTCTTACCGTTCTTCAAACCAATCTTTCTGGCATGATAGGACCTAAAAGAACAAGTGTTCCAACCAAGAGAGTTCTATTCAACCATCCAAACCCAACTATCAACTTAACATTAGCAAATATAGTCAAGAAATGAATTATAAAAAGGATTCTAAAAATTGGTCAGTCAATCAGTCAACTACAACGTAGGACCAAGCACATATATGCGTCGGTCCAGGTTGTCATACCGCATTAGCACAGCAAGATGATCACCGGATTCATAGAAGTGGTTAGGTCAATAGTGGTAATATATAGAAGATTGCATATAAGGATATAGTATAGGAAGAAAGAATTAGTACTTAGAAAGATATGAAGCGATTTTAATCTTATAGTTTAAGGTAAGACAAAGAGTGTATACACCTACGTCATTGTGATCGATTTTGAGCCATGTCACACAGAGTCTCCAACCATTGGTTACGATAGTCACGCGGACCCCAACCAAGTAATCTGCATCTACCAACATGGCTAAGACTAGAGGTTAGTGTCTTCAAGCACTGATGCCACATTTTGATTTCCCCCCCCCCAATCTTCTTCCAACCATCTTCAACACTTATTAGCATTGCACGTCGTGATAATCGGTATCGAGGCTTGCGTAACAAGTGGCCCAACCATCTCAGTCGATGATGATTCACAACCTCATCAACTGGTTTACGATTATTCCCTAACAATGAGTAATGATAATAATAAAACTTTTTTTAAAGAAATAATTAAACAAACCTCAGATGTAACTTTTACAATTTGAGCTTTTAATGATTTTGGTAATTTAGCAATTAATGCAGGAAATAACCAAACTGGATCATTATCATCTAATTCAATAATTGGTAAATCATCAATTAAATGTCCAATTGAACCTTCTTGAAAATTCATATAATTACTATTATTATTAGTAGCAGTAGTAGTATTATTATTATTACTTGTAGTCGTCGTAGTAACATTATTATTATTATTATTAGTTGTCATAGAAACAGTCGTATTATTATTATTATAATCAAGCCAATTAATAATTTGTGATTGAAATCCATGTACAATTGATTGTGCTAAATAACCAAGTACTTCAGTTTGTTGTGAAAATGATATTTGTGAATATAATAATTGAAATTCAATTTGTGTACATTTTAATGTCCATATATTTAAATTATGTAATATATGACACATAGCACCAGATAAACCTTCATTTGTTGATGCTATATCAATCCATGTTATATCATATGGCCAATATATAATATGTAATAAACGTCTTGCTTGACTTTGTGTAAAATTTTTATCAATTAATACATTTTCACGTATTAATTGATTGGATGTCATTTGATAAAAACGTTCACGTACCCATGATATTGTACATATTTCACGTAATACTAATTGTGTTAATGCATTTAATGGTAATGTACGTAATTCTATAGTTGTTGGTAATATATCATGTTCTAAAAATCTTTGTATAATATAATGTATTTTTGAAATAGATTTACGATTAGTAAGACGACGATTATGTCGAGATTTAAATCGTTTTGATTTATTATTATTATTATCTTTTTGATGTGGTTGTAATATTGTTCGAGTACGTTTACGTGTTGCATTTCGTAAGATTGAATTGTCTCCTTCTGAATCAATATCTGTTAAATCATCAAGATTATCTTGTGCATTTGATGTTCCACCACCACCACCACCACCATCATCATTGTCATCATTTTCATCATCATGTTCTTCATCACCACCATCATCATCTTGATTTGCATCACTATCTTCATTATTATCATCATTTCCTGTAGCATTATCAGTTTCGTCTATAATATCTTCTTGTGAACAAAATCCAGTATTATTATTATTATTATCAACTGATGCTTTGTCACTATGAACAATAAGCATTTTTAAAACATCAACAAGAAATTCTGAAGTAACTTTTTGTAAAGCAGCAGTTAATAATAATGGTTCTGAAATACGAAAAGGCGGAGATGTTGGTGAATTTGATAAGTTATCAGTAGTATTAGTATTAGTAGTAGTAGTATTTGATAAATTCATATCAGGATTTGGTGTTAATACATTAGAAGTTGTTTGTAATGAACTAACTGTTGATTCAGCAGTAAATAAACAATGTAAATATGACAAGCTAAAGAGATAATTGATTTTAATTGTACACTAACTGGTTGTGTAACATTATCTAAACCTTGAGCCATTGCTGGACATATAACTAAACGTAAAAAATCTGATATAGTAAAACAATAACGTGATAATAATGTACCAATTAAAGAACTTAAATTATCATATATCCATATTTGACTTGGATCAATAGTATTAATTAATGGACTATAACCATGTACATAAGAATGTGGTGCTAATATAGCATAGAATGCTCCAAGCCATTCTGATGTTAATTCACTACATTGTGATGTTAATTCAGCGCATAAACCACATAAATAATTAACATGTTCAATTGTTTTAGCTTGACATATCCATATAATTGCTTTACATACAAAACTATAACGTGAATCAGGTTTATTACGTAAATCATCAGCATATGCACGAAATGATGTAACATTATCCATTGATGTTATTGTTATTAAATCATTAGCATAATCTGGATCAAATTGTCCTATACCATCATTTGGATCAATACGACGTAATAATGCATTAACTTTTTGATGTGCTTTACCATATATTGGTGTAAAACGTGTTTTAATAACAATATTTGATGTAAATAAATCATTTAAATAAATTAATATACAACGTTCTAATGGTCCACATTGAGTTGGTTCTTTTACTTGTCTAACTTGTTCAATTAATGTAGGAAATAAACGACATGATATATCACCCATTGTAAATAATATATTTTGATAACGTTGTAATATACCAACAGATCTAAGACATAATGATGACATATATAATGTCATAAAATGGGTACGATTTTCAAATAAGATCTTTAAACGTTCTAATGTATCAATAATAGTTAATATTAATGATGTAATATTTAATGATGTTTCAATTAATTCAAAAAATAAAAATATTGAACTTGGTACAGGCATATAAATATGAGATTGAGTATTAGATGTAGTCATAGATAATGGATTATTATTGTTGTTACTAACGGTAGTAACAAAGCTATTACTACTACTACTACGTAGTAGTAGTAGTAGTATTTTGAGTATTCGTTGAAGAGGATGATGATGATAATGGTGAATTTGTATTGATTGATGTAATATTTGAGTTATTATTATTATTATTATCATCATTTGATGCATTAACAGTTGAATGAAAATTAGAACCACTTAACATTTTAACAAATACTGGAGTACATTGAGATAATACATATTCCATATCATAAAATGATAAATTAAGAAAACGTTTTGTTATATCCTCATGAACTTCATCAATTGATCGTGTTTCATCATTACTATTATTATTACTAACACTACGATGACTAGGTCCATTCCCTATAACATTACTACCATTATTAGAAGTTCCTGTTCCAGAAGTTGTTGATTGTCCAACTAATGATCCTAATCCAAGTGTTGTTCCAACATTATTAGAGTTGATGTTATTATTATTATTAGCAGTATTATTGTTATTATTAACATCTTTTTCACGTTCTCTATCTTTACTTCTTTTACGTCTACCAAGTTCACCATGAAATACATCAATTAAATAAATTTTTTTAGTAAACAATTTACAAATATCTCGTATTAATTTACGAATAGGATATCTTGCACGATCTCTTGATCGTACAGAACCATATAATAATTGAAAACGTTGATTTTGTTCATGTGCATAACTTTCATCTTGTGGTATAGGAAATTGTACTAAATAATGTAAATGACGATTTGAATTAGTAAGTCCTTGATTATTTGATAATGATGACGATGATGAAAATGACTGATGATTGATTAGTTGATTATTATTTGATTGTAATGACATTAAATTCATAATACCAGATTCTGAACGTACAGAATCTGGATTATCCATACTATAACGATCCATATCTTCAGAGAATTCCGATTTGACAGAATGTTGAGCTGTTGTTTGCGAATGACATGCAATTGATGCTGTTGACATATTGGTACTACCGGTAGTAGTACGTGTTATATTTGTTGGTGTATTAACAGATTGGTTAATAGTATTATTATTATTATTGATGGACAATGGATTAGTATTCATCTTGTTTTGCATAGTATTATCTATCAAAGCTAACGGATGTAAACTTGTATCAAAAACACCACGGGCAATAAAATATCTCACATAATTATCATGATCAAATACTTCACGATCAATTAATTCCGAGAATAAACAGACTAGATTACGCATTAAATTATTTTCAATTAACGATTGTTCTCCATTGAATGGTGGTAAGTGTGCAGTACAGTTATCTAGAAATTTTATTAATGTTTCTTGTAAAGACTGATAGGCTTGACTACTCATTATATTCATATTGTTAATATTAGTAGTATTTTTCACGCTAGTAGTATTAGCAGTGGTAGTAGTGGTGGTAGTAGCAGTAGTAGTAACTGCTGTCATTGTTGTCATAACACCATTAACATTACTCCCAGTAGTTGAGACTGTATTCACTGGCGCTGTTGATAGTGATACTGTATCTTTATTAATGATATTACTACTGTTAATACTGTTATCTCCATAGAATGTATTCTTTAACTGTTCCAAAAGACATGCAACTATAATTGATCGATAGATTCCAATACGATATGGTGATACAGCCCATTCGCATAAAGTTATCACAATAATGGCTGTATCCACATGAATTGAATCATCATTGAATATACGATTATATAAAGATTCCATTGGATTCGGTTCACGAACTAAATGATATTCATGACGATCTAAAATGTCAAGTAGACGAACAAGACGTTCAATCTAGAAAGAAAAAAAAACGATAAAAAAAGAAACAATAAGAAAAGATAAGATTAACATGGAGAATTTTAAACATAACGTGATTAGATGGAAGTGGATATTTTGAAAAAGGTGAGACATTTTTAAAACCGGACTTCAATGGTTTTCTAACTAGGGTCAGTTCGTGAAGTAAACTACAATACAATTTTTAAAATAAAAAACTGAACATTAAATTAACTCAATTAAAAATAACTTTCTAATCTGGTTGATCAGTCACAAACAACATACTCTATCTCTTCCAAAAACATTCATGAAGTCACTGACTAAAATTGAGCCACCTGGGTTGTTGTAGACTATCTAATTGAGGTCTACGCGATTACCTGAAACAATGACTAAGGATGTAAGGTGACATGTCTCAGAATCAATCGTAGTAGTGTATAAGGGTCTATACTTTGTCTCCCCCCCCCCACACACACTTTAGGCCTTAAGTATCAAAACCACTTATATTCCGCGAATTCATTTTGTCCTCAAATCATATTATCTATCCCTGTTTTTTCTAATACCACTGACAATAATACTTCTACTTCAGTAATCATCTTGTTATACTGACGTGGTGTGGTAACTTGCATTGATCTATGTATGCCCCAGGTTCGACTCTGCTTATGACTGACTGGTACATTCCACAAAAATTGGAATTAATATAAATTAGAATTTGATAAAATAAATATGAATGGATAGGGAATAAAAAGAGAGTCATTTAACCATACTTAAGTCATTTCCAGGTAAGGGAATTATGTCAAATACTACCAGAATATGACACCAATATGATGCTAATCACGATTAAGGATGAAGTTTGTGAAATAAAAAAAGTAAACGTATCATCGATAAATATTTCCGAATGATACTCTTCAATATTAAGTTTTGATCTTTATCATTGCCAATACGGTTATCTCAACACCTTCGCAACTCAGTTTCTTTGTTTGATTTCATTCAGTCATCATCAACACACAGCTTGGGACAAACAGTTGATTTAGGTTGTCATACCACATTGGCACGCTGAGACGGAATTAACAAGATGTACAACAAACGAGCCCCTAAAAATGTAGTACCAATGTCAGAGAAAAAGAGCGAGCACTGAGAATGATACAAAAAGACAGTGGAAAGATAGATATGAAGCAATACCGGGATTAAAGATCAAGAAAATAAAATGTAAATTGACGGAAACCTTGATGAGAGCCAAATGAGGCTGACAGTTGCGGCGATAGTTCCCCATAAGCTCTAACTCGACTAACAGTATCTGAGTAAAGAGCTTTCAGGTTTATGCACTTCTTTGGTACGTTTCTCAATGAAAACATTTGCGACAAAACCTCTTGGTCAACTGATTCGAATGCTGCTCTAATTTCAAGAAAAGCAAATATAGTTTGGCGTCAGTATATTTATATTCTGAAACCTGACGAAGAGTAAATATTTGGTTAATGCATACCAACCTAGTTTTTTTAGTTTGTTCTTTACGACCCTTATGTAAGTGTTGGATGATTATAGTCTAGAATTAAATTAAACTGATCCCTCTGTGGTTATTGAAAGTATTTCTTTTTTGTAAACTGAAGCGGTCAGCGATAGCAACCGGTCAGATGAAAATAAGTCCGACCCTAAACCCTAATTAATGTCTCAATCATATCAGTAGCTAAAAGTTCACCAGCAACCTTAACCATCTCTAGCGTCAATCCATCATGGTCGTGGTGATGTGGTACGGGGACTTAGGCTAACACAAATTTATGGAAGGTTCTACGTTGATTACAACTGACTGGTTTGGTATAATGAAAGAAATCTCCATAGTGACACAAAAACTGCAATACAGTCAGTATGTTATTCTACGACACACTAAAAAATATCACTCTCCCTTTTCAAACACTTACATACTTACGCCTGTTACTCCTAATGGAGCATAGGCCGCCGACCAGCATTCTCCAACCCACTCTTTCCTGAGCCTTCCTTTTTTGTTCTATCCAACTTTTGTTTATTCTTTTCATGTCTGTCTCCATTTCTCGGCGTAATGTGTTGTTTGGTCTTCCTCTTCTCGTTTCGCCTCGAGTATTCCATGTGAGGGCTTGTCTTGTGACGCAGTTGGGTGCTTTCCTCAATGTGTGTCCTATCCACTTCCAGCGCTTCTTCCTGATTTTTTCCTCCGCTGGGGTCTGGTTTGTTCTCTCCCACAGTACGTTGTTGCTAATAGTGTCCGGCCAACGGATTCGAAGTATTTTGCGTAGACAACTGTTAACAAACACCTGTATTTTCTGGATGATGGCTTTCGTAGTTCTCCAGGTTTCTGCCCCATACAGTAGAACTGTCTTGACATTTGTATTGAAAATCCTGACCTTGGTGTTGGTTGACAGTTGCTTTGAGTTCCAGATGTTCCTCAGTTGTAAATATGCTGCTCTTGCTTTGCCGATCCGCGCCTTCACATCTGCATCAGATCCATCATGTTCATCAATGATGCTGCCCAAATACGTAAAGGTTTTTACATCTTCCAAATCTTCTCCGTCAATTGTGATTGGATTGGTGCATTCTGTGTTGTATCGGAGAATCCTGCTTTTCCCTTTGTGTATATTGAGACCTATTGCTGCTGAGGCTGCTGCCACACTGTTCGTCTTCTCCTGCATTTGTTGTTGCGTTTGGGATAGAAGGGCCAGATCATCTGCGAAGTCTAGATCGTCCAACTGCATCGTAGATGTCCATTGTATCCCGTGCTTCCCTTCAGACGTTGACGTCTTCATGATCCAGTCGATCACCAGGAGAAAGAGAAAGGGTGAGAGTAAGCAACCTTGCCTGACACCGGTCTTCACTTCGAACGACTTTGTCAACTGTCCTCCATGCACGATTTTGCAGTTTAATCCATCATATGAATTCTGTATGATATTGACTATCTTCTGAGGCACGCCGTAGTGTCGAAGAAGTTTCCATAGTGTTGTTCTGTCCACGCTATCAAATGCCTTTTCGTAGTCAATGAAGTTGATGTAGAGTGATGAATTCCATTCAATTGATTGTTCCACAATGATCCGTAGAGTTGCGATTTGGTCTGTACACGATCTATCCTTACGGAATCCTGCCTGTTGGTCACGAAGTTGGGCGTCTACGCAGTCCTTCATCCTGTTTAACAATACCCTGTTGAAGACTTTTCCCGGTATTGAGAGAAGAGTGATGCCCCTGTAGTTATCACACTTGCTGAGATCGCCTTTCTTCGGTATTTTGATCAGAAGTCCTTCTTTCCAGTCTTTTGGTACTTGTTCCTCATCCCAAATCTTATTGAAGAGAATGTGGAGTATCCTTGCAGTTGCCGCTACGTCTGCTTTTAGTGCCTCTGCTGGAATGTTGTCCGGTCCTGCTGCTTTGCCACTCTTGATTTGTCTGATGGCCATGCTGATTTCTTCAATTGTTGGTGGGCCAACATTGATTGGGAGGTCCGTGGGTGCTGCTTCGATGTTGGGTGGGTTCAGTGGAGCTGGTCGATTCAAGAGTTCTTTGAAGTGTTCTACCCACCTGTTTTGTTGCTCTTCAATGTTGGTGATTACCTCGCCTTCCTTGCTTTTCACTGGTCGTTCTGGTTTGCGGCGATTTCCAGAGAGTTTCTTTGTCGTGTCATACAGTTGTCTCATGTTTCCTTCTCTTGCAGCCTTTTCCGCCGTCGTTGCTAAATCTTCCACATATTTACGTTTGTCGGTTCTGATGCTCCTCTTCACTTGTTTGTTTACTTCTGTGTATTCAGCTTGTGCCTTGGCTTTTTCTGCTCTTGTTCGACTGGTATTGATTGCTGCCTTCTTGTTCCTCCTTTCTTGAATCTTATCCAGTGTATCAACAGTGATCCATTCCTTGTGATGGTGCTTCTTGTGACCCAGGACCTCATGACATGTTGAAGTGATTGCCTCTTTGATCCCCTTCCAGTTGCTCTCCACAGTAGTTCCTTCTCCATTGAGTAGATCATGAAAGGCCTGGAACTTGTTGCTGAGGACTATCTTGAATTTGTTGAGTTTGTTAGTATCCTGAAGAAAGGCCGTATTGAACTTTTGTGATATTGTCCGCCCCGTTGTCCAGTGCTTCTTGAGTTTCAATTTCATCTTGGCGACCAGCAAGTGATGATCTGATGCTATATCAGCTCCTCTCTTGGTTCTCACGTCCTCTATAGTCCTCCTGAACGTTTTGTTGATGCAAATATGGTCGATTTGGTTTTGCGTGGTGTGATCCGGTGAAGTCCATGTGGTTTTGTGTATGCGTTTATGTGGGAATATGGTGCCGCCTATGACCAGTTTATTGAAGGCACATAGGTTTGCAAATCTCTCACCATTTTCGTTCTTTCTCCCAGTCCGTGTCGTCCCATGATGTCTTCATATCCAGTGTTGTCCGTTCCAACCTTGGCGTTGAAATCTCCCATCAGAATAGTCAGGTCCTTTGTTGGGCACTTCTCGACGATTGACTGCAGCCTATTGTAGAATTGATCTTTAGCGTCTTCATTGTAGTCGTTGGTAGGCGCATAGCATTGGATGATGTTCATTGAAATGCCCTCTTTCTTTGTTTTGAAGGAGGCTTTGATGATCCTTGGTCCATGAGATTCCCATCCTATAAGTGCATTTTGCGCTTGTTTGGACAGCATCAATGCAACTCCTTGTGTATGTGGTGCATTTTCTTCTTCATGGCCGGAGTATAACAGGAGCTCTCCTGAAGTTAGTCGTTGTTGTCCAACTTGTGTCCAATGTGTTTCACTGATCCCAAGTACCTCTAGGTTGTATCTTCTCATTTCTGCAGCAATTTGGAAGGCTCTCCCGGTGTCCCACATTGTACGAACATTCCATGTACCTAAATAAATGGTTGCTCTGGTTGTCAGAAGGGGCATCGGCCTCGTAACTTCCGAAGGAATTCGGCTTTCATCATGAGGCGTCATAATTCTTCTAAATGAAGACCTTCTGACTCCCGGGGCAGAGTTCGAATAATTTTTTCTGGTTAGCGTTCTTTTTGCGAGTTAGTTTTCTACGGGATGGGGACGCTAACCCCATGCCCAACCCTCCTCCTTTATCCGGGTTTGGGACCGGCAGTAGCCTCCGGAGGGACTCCAGGCGGAGTTGTTTTCAAACACAAAATGAACATATTTCCAGACAGAACGGGTTCTCGCTTCATAAACTTTGCCATAAATTGATCACGTAAGAAAACTATCGTCTATTATCTACTAAACACAAGTTTATGTGTTCGGCTTTCAGAAAAACTATTTTTACAATGACTAATGTTACTATCCGGATGTCCAAACTAAAGTATGTGCAGTGAACATTAACTGGTGACGCGCTGACTGAAAGCTATACTTTAAACACTAAGCTACTGTTCTTGTGTTAACCCTTACAATATAATGGCACATTTAATTTGTTTGCATTAACATTCAAAAAGTAAATACATGCTGAAAAATGGTTACTAATTAAGCTTATAAGGGTTAAGGCTAGCAGATAAAGCTTGTGAATCTCTTTGACACAATGTACAGGTGATCAGCCTATGTAACATCAATTAATGACAATACATCGATATAAAGGACAAATCAGACAGGAATGATGCTTGCTGGTCGATTACAACTATCTGGTTAAGGTCCTAAGGATCATACGGCTCAGTAGCCTAAGACGTTACAGGAAAGTGATCCATTTGGAGTTTTGCGTTGAATTCATTTTTAAAAATGGACCTTTTTGACAGGAAAATCCATCTCACGGCTATTTCCTTAACTAGAGCGTACCTTCCAATAAATATTATTTTCGGCTTTCCTCTTTTTTCCAGTATTGTGACTGCATTTTGTACAGAGCATTTCTGAATTAACAAAATATAAATAACCCTTTAGAATCACATCCATTATTAGAAATCAAACAAAACTGCATGACTTAGTGAAAGAACCGTCACAATGAGCGTTTATTGCGGTGAAAACAATAACAGCTTGGTTCAACATTTATTTAGTTGTATGTAATTAGGAAGAGTTCAAAATAAAGGAACATAAACTTTCAGTCTAAAATACGTATATCAAAACGAAACTAATTGTGGAATGTTGTTTTCGTTAAATGAAAAGATGCAATTAACATAGTTTACAAGCTTTGAAAACACTGCAGCATAGAAGAAAAACAGTCTAAAACTAAGTTACAGAGTCAAAATAACTCCAGTTATCCAAGCGGATATTGATTCGAATCACTATTACTCTGACAGTGACGAAAATTGTGTAAATGCATCTAAATTAGCCAGTTGTATGTATTAGATATCAAATAGTTATTTATCTATTTGAGCCCTATTTCTCTTGTTTCCATTTTATATTTTATCGCATTTGTTTATTTATTTTATTTGAACACAAATATTGCCACAAAAGGGCACCAAATACATATGCGCCACACAAGTCACTGCATTTGTGTGTGGACTATGATACTGTCAGGGTGCCAAACCGAAGTAGGTGGTTTTCTAAGGGGGCCACACACTGTGTCTCTGACCTAAAGGTCTAATCCACAAGTCAGTGAAGCATCGTAAGGAGATGTTGTCTCATGGGAGCCGGTGACCAACAATTGGTCCATACGCCATTTGTTCACTCAGGATACTGGAGCCCATTTTCACCATTGGTTTGAAACCAGGGTTTTCCAACTCCCGTAGGTGGATCCTCTATACCCACTGACCTGGTTAAAGCTACGGGCATTCGCTCTTTGTCCTCTCAATTTCGTAAACAACACCCCCTTGGAGGGAAGGCAGTGAGTAGGACTTCCTTGGCAGAGGCTATATACGCATGGCTATGTGAGAGCATTTCGACAGAGAGAGCGGACTTTCCTTCATCCTCTGCCGTACCAGGGCAACTGAGTGTGCGGAAACGAGTTAATGTATACATGTGCCTGGCTCTAAGTCCCTTTTTTAAATGGGAATGCCACAGCGCTCTAAATCTTATACCATCACTAATAAAACCCAGAACCTCGTTAAAGTGGGGAGGATAGTTATGTTTCTCATAAGTCACACACATATGCCTTAGGCGTGAAGCCATATGAATTGGTTGTTCATGAGTTATAATTGTATTGAGGAACCTAGAAATAACGATAAAACAGGAAATCGTAAACATGATTATAATTCATGAATAAAGTTTACTTTATATTACGGAATAAATTCAGTGTAGTAACACCAAATAATAACACGAATTTTAGATCTATTCTATCAAGATAAAACTAGAAGGACTTACGTTTTCACCGTTATTTCCTGAGCATGGTTCAATCAGCCAACCAGATTCAACGAGCTGACTACGTCTTATTATGTCCTCCTCAACTTCGGACAAACACTTGCGTATCGATGTTGATTCCTCTCCAAGTGGTAGAGGAAGTGCAACTAATGAGTGTGGAATATGATCAAGAGGTGATCCTTTAAAATAAGCGTAATCAGTATCAAAAGGTATTGGATTCCACACTGCAGCTGACGGACAGCTTAATACAATGAAGACAATTAAACTACTCAGTGACATGGAAATATTTTGATGTAGAGGGCACGTGTATAAATCCTTATACTCATTTAAAATACTTTGAAATGTACCAACAGAAGGAGCATATTTAGATCCAGTACATGCAAATACAACATCTGCAAACGTAGTGCAACACCAGTAAAGTAGTCTCCGTATTAGCAATTCACTCTCAGTAAACCGACGTCCAAACTTAATGAGGTAATGCAAAATAAACTTCAGGGGGAAATCAGAAGCACATTTGCTAGTAAGTGCTGAACGATCTGAAGGTGATAAAGCAACTGTTGAGGGTGACGATTGTCCACGAATTTGTTCATTAACACTTTCTGCAGCTTTAATTAGCCAAAGTATGACTTCCCAGTGGTCTGCCATGTCCGAATCATACATAGCTAAAAGCAGCGAAAAGAGATAATCCCAATCATTAAAGAGTGATATGAGTTCATTATGCTTAACGGGTGCATAAATTGGCTCCAATGAACGCGAAAGCAGGCGACAGAGCGTAGACGACCAGTCGGCAGTAGGATCCTGAGGTGCTCTAGGCTTTTTCTTTGCAGTTTCAGCAACTGCCGTTGACTGGATGACGCTTATATTAATAAACCATAATGCTCGAGTAATAGGAACTTTGTTCGAAAGCAACTCGTGTAAAAGTTCTTCTTTATCTTTGAAAAAAGGCACACGACGTCCAAGGTTTTGCAGTGGAACGTTGCTGGAAAGCTCTCTAAACCAGTCGCAAACCTGTTCTTTGTACATATCAATAGCCGGAATAACAGTATCACGGATATTAGTGGTTTGACGTTTCTTAAAATCTTGAAAGTTAGAGCACTCATACTTCTTTAACATAACATTATAATAAAAGCTCCAAACAGCGTCTGAATTTAAAAACCGACTTTCCTCCTTACATGATTCATATTCATCACGTACTGGTTTAGTGTATTTAAAACCGTCTTTGACAAAATCCTCACACATCAAATCTTCTTTTTGTTCACTCCTTTGACAATAAACATCTGGGGGACAGTGTTCTTTTCTTTTTAGTGACCGATATTCCAGTGATGGGAAACTACTCATCTCAGTGCAATCAGTAAACACTGACCTCAAAATACCCGCATTCGACCGTAACCTTGTAATTGAAAAGTCGCAGTAACATTCTGTTCATTAGACCATCAAACTTCCAGCCTTTTCTAGCAAAAAAAAACAGAATGAAGCGTCCACAAATTTTACGTTGCTTTTTTGATAGTGAGACTTTACTAAAAGTACACTATAGTAATCAAGAGAGACCATAGTAGGTTTCAACGATAAGTGGTTCAAATAGTTGTGAACGGAATAGAAGAAGCTTTCGCTTAACAAGCTTCCGTGTCTAGTAGCAATAAGCCATCAATACCTTTAGGGCAGAAAGATAGGTATATTAACGGTAAAACTAAAAAGAAATTGGCAAATCATACTGAGATACTATCGTTAGTCCTTAAGAATATGTCAAGTTTCCACTTAAGAGACTCCCGGGAAGTCTCTTGGATTAGCCCATCCGGCAGCGAATTCCAGCATTTAACAACTCTTAAGGAGTAGAAGTTGTATCTACAGTTTTTCAATACTTCATGTATGATTGCCATTGACCCATTCAGTCTATCTTTATCTAGACATTACGTTACAGTTAGCAACTCAGATTTTCAGGTTGATCATTTTCGCTTTTTGTGTGCCTCGTGTGAAAAAACTTGTTAATGAGCCCTCCCGCAACTGCCTTCTCAGCAAGTCCAGACTACCTGGAAACAAACGCAAATTCGTATTTGTCAGGTTTTTTAACACAGGCCTGTTGTCCATCTGTACTAGCTGAACCATCCCAACAGAACAAAAATATCCAGTGGCCTCCTAGACTCCTCAAAGGCATTCTGAGTGGATTGACTATCTCAGAGATATCACAGCTATTCCGGGTTGCACAACGCTTTTGTCTGTTACACCTTTATGATCGAAAGATACAAACCCAGCCAAACCAGAAGTCAGGGACGAATTTCTACTACAGAAGTATTTTGTGGACTACTTTTGTAAAAAAAACAATATATATATAAGCTCATCCGAAAGATCGACTTTTTGACGTGATAGTATAAAAAGACTGAGAATGCAAGTGAATAATTGTGGGATGGAGAAAGCTAGACTAAGCCAAAACTTGTTCAGTGTTCTGAATGTAATAATCCTTCGTGTTCTGGGAACCTTACCGTTCTTCCAGAGAGCGTTCTCTTGGGTCAGGTTTCGGATTCTAGTGAAGCTTTATCGTGGTCATTGATTATCAGGGATGATACCATGGTAGTGAGGCCTTTATCGTTCATTCTTTCTGGAGGAATGTCGACATAATATGGGTTTCCCTCTAACTAAGAGACTTTGAGACGATCGGTGCTCATGTTGCCGTCAGTTCCGTATTTGTCGATAGTGTACTACTTTGAAGGGTTCATCTCATGCAGTTTCAAAGGGCCGTCATGATCAATAGTGATATATGAAATCACGTTTACCATGTCGTAAGGCAACTTGAACGTAAACATCTGTTGGCTGAGGTCGAGTAAAGACAGGTTTAACTGAACGCGTGGCGATTGTAAGCCTCCTCGTGTATAAGTCTAAATTCAGATTGACTGAAGAGGATAGAGGATCCCAAAATCCTCCTGGGACCTGAAGTTTATTTATTATTATTATTTGGACACATGACTATTGGTACAAGAGAGCGCCAATATATATACGCCACACAAAACAATGAAAATTCGAGAGGAATACAAAGAAATAAAAAAAAAAGCTAAGGAGCGCAACAAAAAAAGAGAGGACAATAACGAAGAGATTGGTGTAAGGTAATGTGATGTTAATCAGGGAACACGAAGGTACAATCAGAAGAAATCTTTCAGGTAAAGGAGACACAACCACTTTTTATGAAGAAAGTAAAAGAAGGTTACAGCAGGATCGCCACTGGCTTCTATTCTGAGCCATATCTGATAACGTCTCTAGCCACTGTGTAGCACCATCTCTCAGACCCCAACCAGGGAGTCGTGAAGGACCAACACAAGCCAGTCCTTTGCAGCTTTCTTTCATACCACGACACCATGTCATGCACTGACCACCTCTCCGCTTCTTCCAACCAGTCCCAGAGTCGGCAAATAATGCACGACGTGGAATTCTCTGGGACGACATTCGGAGAACATGTCCAAGCCACCGAAGTCGGTGTTTCAAGATGGTGACACCAATTGAATTATCATCTCTGTGCCCGAACACACGATGCCGAACCTCTGCATTACTGACATGGTGTTGCCACTGAATGTCAGCAATCCTTCGGAGACAGCGATGATCGAACACAGAGAGTCGTCTAACGTCCTCAACTCGGAGAGGCCAGGTTTCACAAGCATAGAGCAAAACTGCTCTCACCGACGCGTTGTAGATCCGACCTTTTACAGCCAGACTAACATCACGAAGGCGCCAAAGATGGCCCAGATTGGCATAAGCCGCTCTGGCTTTCACTATACGTGCATTGATCTCATCATCGCCACCACCAGCAATAATGCAGCTACCCAGATACACGAACTTCTCGACTACGTCTATCTGCTCACCATCCAGGGTGAGTACAGGAATGGAATCCTGCCAGTCTTGTAGAAGTACTTTGCACTTCGAAGGTGCAAAGCACATACCATACCTACGGACACTGATTGCCAACTGATTAAGTGCGGATTGCATGCCTTGGGCATTATCGCACAGTAAGACAATATCGTTCGCATACTCAAAGTCGAGAAGTCTTTCTCCAGGCAACAGATCCACACCACCATTACTTACACTCATCAGAGCTGTTTCCAGAATGTCATCGATGGCAAAGTTGAAGAGGAATGGTGAGATTGGGCAACCCTGCCTAACCCCACTGCTCGAATGGAACAATGGAGAGAGGTGGTTGTATGCCCTCACTCTGCCTCAGGTCTTTTTATATAGGGCTTTTAGGACGTTAGTAAACTTCTCAGGCCCTGATGTCAAGAAACACTACGAGTGTTGGACGCAATCGGAAGTAGACTTATCCCCCGATAGTTGTTACAGGAACGACGTGAACCCTTTTTAAAGATAGGGACAACTATCGACTCATTCCATGACGTTAGTACACTCTCTAGTTCCCAAACCTATGTAAACAACGTCGTCAATTCCTTAGTCAAAAAGTCACCACCATCTTTAAAAAGAGCCGGAGGTAAGTCATCTGGGCCAGGTGATTTGTAACGCTTCAAGAGTTGGAGTTCCTTGCGGACTTCCGCCTCATTTGGTGGATCAGTCGTCACCGGCCATGGAGGGCAGGACAGTCTGACCGATATTGCCGGAGCAGCAGGCCAGTTGAACTGCCCTTCGAAAAATTCTGCCCATCGTCCAAGACGTCGATGGATGTTAGTGATTGGCATCCCATCATCCTCGCAGATTGTTTCACTCACACCAGACTTCTTGCTGCCAGTGGCTCGGATGAGCTGGAAGAGCTTCCGGTAGTTACCAGATGCAACTGCTGCTTCCAACTCATTAGCACGCTTCGACCACCAGGCTTCTCGGTCCTTACGCAAGCTTTGCCCGATTTCCTCACGTAACATCCTTCGTTGATGGTCAAACTCACGGTCACCCGGAGTAGACCGACGGGCTTCAATGAGTTGTAAGGAACCTGAAGAAACCCAGTGCTTATAAGCGGGACGTTTCACGAACCCACAACTGACTGTTCCCGCCATTTTCATGGCGTCATGCAATTGCAACCAATGCTCATCTATACTTTTCGGTGGAGTGGTAGCTAGCCTAGAGGCTAGCTCGGTTCGATACTTACTTGCAACAGAAGTTGCAACCAGCTTGCTAACATCAATCCTTTGCTGGCAGTCACTTCGTTGTCCACTGAAAAGTAAGGCTTGAGATGCAGTGGGAGGACGCCAAGTGGCACATCGGCGATGACTGTGCCGAAAGTTAGTGCTAGCCAGAAACAGGTTGTGGTCTGTGCACAGTTGCGGTAGACGGTCCCTGTTATCTGATCTGCGACCAACGAGTCCCCATCGGCCACCTAAACGACCCTCTTCTGTGCCTAGACGCCCGACCTGAGTATTGAAGTCTCCGGCTAGTACTACAATATCTGTCGAACGCACTTTCTGGAGAACAGATAACTGGTGGTAAAACTCATTCTTGATTGCATCTGGGCCGCAATCTGTCTGGGCATAGGCGGTGACGACGGAAAGACATCGTTTCTCACGACGACTTCTTGTCACGTTGATGGAACTTTCTAATCTAACAGCACATAACCGACTGTTAATGGGGATCCAATCGACTAGTGCTGCCTCAGCTCTAGCGCCTAGTGCGACACCAACGCCAGCAAGACCAGACGAAGATGACACAGGGTCCCCGGATAAGCGCACGTAAAACAAGCTTTTTGAAGTGACAGATGGGGAGCGAATTTGTAGTACATCACCACAGTCTTGAATACGGGTCTCGGATAGACAGCAGACATCGTTATGAAGACTTTCCAAAGACATAGCCAGCCCTATCTGTTGACCAACCTGGATAAGTGTGCGAATGTTGAAGGCAGCCAGTTTGAATAGTGCACGTGGTTTCAGAAAGACTGCTTCAGTACTCATATTCGATGATAACATACAATTTTCAACCGGACAGTGACTCGAGAACGTTTAGATACAGTCGAATTTCCACCAAAGACGAGCCGCTGTATAAGTATAAAGGAGGGTGAATAATGTGGAAAATAATAATGATAATAATGACAATAATAGTAATAATAA